CCGGAGCCCAGCAGGTGGAGGCTGTGGTGGCCGGGAGCGACCACTGCACTCCAGTCTGGGCAACAGAGTGAGACTCCAACTCAAAAAAAAGAAAAAAAGAAACATCTAAGTTGTGCTATAACCAAAAAACAAAAAGACTGAAGAGTGGCTGGAAGTGAACAGCTCTATTATTATTATTATTATTTTAAAGCAGGATTTATTGAGAGGACAGAAAAGCTCCCACAGTGGGAGGGGATCCAAAGGGGTTGTCTTATTTTTTTTTTTTGTCGATGTTTCACTCTGTCGCTCAGGCTGGAGTGCAGTGGCATGCTCACAGCCACCCCAGCATCAACACACTGAGCTCCAGTGATCCTTCTGCCTCAACCTTCCGAGTAGCCGGAACTTCAGGTGCACGCTATCATGCCCAGTTAAATTTTTTTTTTAATTGTAGAGACGAGGTCTCGCCAAGTTGCCCAGGCTGGTGTCTAACTGGCGGGGTCAGGCAATCCACTCGCCTTGGCCTCCCAAAGTGCTGGGATTACAGGCTAAGCCACCGAACCCAGCGTTTTAGTTTTTTGTTTTTTTAGTTGTAGAGATGAGGTCTCACCATGTTGCTCAGGCCTATTATGTTTTGTTTTGTTTTGTTTTTTGAGTTGGAGTCTCACTCTGTCGCCCAGACTGGAGTGCAGTGGCCGCTCCCGGCCTCCGCAGCCTCGACCCGCTGGGCTCCGGTGATCCTTCCACCTCAGCCTTCCGAGTAGCTGGAACTACAGGCGCGCGCTACCATGCCCTGCTAATTTTTTGGTTTATGTAGTGATGAGGTCTCGCTGCTCAGGAGGGTCTCGAACCCGCGGGCTCAGGCAATCCACTCACCTCAGCCTCCCAAAGGCGCGGGATTACAGGCTGAGCCACTGAGCCCGGCTTTGTTTTGTTTTTTTAACTTTTAATTACATGAGGAACATTGGAAGTATTCTCACTGTAAAAAATCCAAACCTTATTACTAACACTGAAGCCTCCAGAGTCCCTAAAAGTAACGTTTTTTGCCAATTTATATGTAACTTACAGATTTCTTTTCCCAATTTTAAAAATTGTGATAAAATACACATAACTTAAAATTTACCATCTTAACCTTTTTCTTTCTTTATTTTTGAGTCGGAGTCTTACTCTGTCACTGGCCGGAGTACAGTGGAGTGATCACGGCTCACCACAGCCTTGACCTCCTGGGCTCAGGCAGTCCTCCCACCCCAGCCTCCTGAGTAGCTAGGACTACAGGTATGAGCTATCATGCCCAGCTAAGCAGGTCTCAAACTCCTGGGCTCAAGAAATTCCTCCCACCTTGGCCTCCCAAAGTGATAGGATTACAGGTGTGAACCACCGAACCCAGCCACCATCTTAATCATTTTTAAATGTATAGTAGAGATGCATTAAATGCATTCATCGGGTTGTGCAACTGTCACCACCATCCACCTCCATGGTTCTTTTCATCTTGTAAAACTGAAACCCTGTTCCCATTAAACACTAACTTCCCACTTTCCCCTCTCACACCCCACCCCTGGCAACCCCCATTCTACTTTCTGCCTCTATGATTTTGATGACTCTAATTTGCCTCATTTAAGTAGAATCATACAGTACTTTTGTGTGTGTGTGACTGGCTTAGTTCACTTAATGTTCTTAAGATTCATCCAAGTTATAGCATGTGACAGAATGACCTTCCTTTCTAAGACTGAGTAGACCGGGCTCATTGGCTCAGCCTGTCATCCCAGCACTTTGGGAGGCCGAGGTGAGTGGATTGCCTGAGCCCGCGGGTTCGAGACCAGCCCAGGCAACTTGGTGAGACCTTGTCTCTACAATAAATAAATTTTAAAAATTAGTCGGATGTGTTAGCACACACCAGTAGTTCCGGCTACTTGGAAGGCTGAGGCGGAAGGATCACCGGAGCCCAGCAGGTTGACGCTGGAGTGGCTGTGAGTATGCCACTGCACTCCAGCCTGGGCGACAGAGTGAGACTCCAACTCAAAAAATTAAATAAACAATAAAAATTTAAAACAGACTGAGTAATATTCCATTGTATGGATATACCATGTTTCACTTATCCATTCATTCATCCACAGACACCTAGGTTGCTTCTACATTTTAGCTATTTTGAAGAATGCGGTTGTAAACATTGTGTACAAATATCTCTTCCAGAATCACTTGCAGACTTTTTTCATTGCATTTCCATGTACATGTGCAGAAATACATATGAATGTATTTAAAATAAAACAATACAATAAAATAGAAATGCCTAAAATACATTATTTCGTATATTGCAAGCATTATTTGGTAACTTGCTTTTTTCATTAGACAATATGCACGGCTTAGAAATCTGTCCATGTGAGGGTGTTTTAATTCATCTCGTCCTTTCTAATTGTTGCATAGAATTTCACAGCATGGAGGGGCCATCATTTATGTAACTAGTCCCCCAGGGATAAATACTTAGGTTATTTTCTATTTCTTCTTATTACAAACACTTAAACTTGGACAACCGTGTAAACTTCCTTCGCATAAATGTGCAAATGTTTTTCCTAGGTGAATCTTAAGCAGTGGGGCTAAGGCTGGGCGTGGTGGCTCAAGCCTGTAATTCTAGCACTTTGGGAGGCTGAGGTGAGAGGTTTGCCTGAGCCCAGGAGTTCGAGACCAGACTGGGCAACTTGGTGAGACCTCGTCTCTACAAAAAATAAAAAATTTAGCTGGGCATGGTGACATGTGTCTGTAGTTCCAGCTACTTGGAAGGATGAAGCAGAAGGATCACTTGAGTCTAGCAGGTTGAGGCTGCGGTGGCTATGAGCATGCCACTGCACTCCAGCCTGGGTGACAGAGTGAGACTCCAACTCAAAACAAACAAAAAAAGAAGTGGGGCTGCTGGGTCCTGGCTAGCAAGCCTTAAATGAGAGGTAAGAAAATTGCAACCAAGAGAGAAGAGACTGGCCCAAAGCCACATGACAGGCTGGTGACAGTGTTGGGATATGATCTTTTGATTTATTCTCCTTATGTATTTTAAGTCATTCACAGTTTTCACCAGTGCGGTGGCTCATGCCTGCAATCCCAGCACTTCGGGAGGTCAAGGCAAGAGAATTGCTCTGAGTTCAAGGGTTGGAGACCAGCCTGGGCAACTTGGCAAGACTTCATCTCTACAACAAGTCAAAAAATGAGCTGTGTGAGGTGGTATGCATCTATAGTTCCAGCTCCTTGGAAAACTGAGGCAGAAGGATCGCCTGAGTCCAACGGGTCGAGGCTGCAGTGGCTGTGAGCATGCCACTGCACTCCAGCCTGGGTGACAGACTGAGACACTGACTCTCAAAAAAAAAAGTCATTCACAGTTCTCAAAGTGTGGTCTGGGAACTCCTAAGGGTTCCCAGGACCTTTTAGGGGGACTAAAAGATTTAAACTATTTTTAAAATAACACTTCAAATTATTTGCCTCTCATCCTCCCACAAGTATACACCTGAGGTTTTCCAGAGACTATGCAATGTGACTGCACTATCACTCTGATCTAGACTATGTGCTTGTATATTTGTCTGCTTTAACATTTTTCAACTTTAATTTCTAATATGGTAAATAGGGACAGATATAACCCAAGTGAACAAGAGTTTGTTGGCATCTTTGATCGTTTTTAAGAGTATAGAGGGCTCCCGGGGCCCAAAATTTTGTGGTCTGCTGACTTAAGCAATTCTCAGCCTTGTGACTCACCAGATTCTGAGGGTCTGTTTTCTCAATGACTTTTCTGGAACAGTAGGAAAAGGGCCCCAAGGCCTGCCGAAGGACACACCACCACTATCAGCCCAAGGAATCAAGTGGCCCTTGGCCAAGTCTTCTGGGGTTTCAGGGTACCTCGGCCCTCTTCGTTTCCCATGTGGAGAATAGGGCCCTCTGAGTAAGAGGGGGCACAGCTGGCCTGGGAGTAGGGCAGGGATGCTCTCTCCATAACCACAGCCCAGTTTCTTGTCGCAGCTCGGAGCTTTGACCTGCAGAAATCAGAGGACATGCTGCGGAAGGTGAGGGAGACACCTTCCCCAGCCTAGCCTGGCCCTGATTCTTATCCCAAGTCTAAGGCACAAATTCACTCATTTGTTCATTTATTCATTCATTCATGGAACACCCATTTATAGAGCCCTGGAGGTAAGCCTGGCTCTGTACTAGGTACTGGGGAGAGTGCAGTGATGGGAAGAGAGAAAAAAGAAACCCAAGAAAAAACAAGGTGATTCCTGAGAGTGGAAAGTACAATGAAGACACCAAAACAGGGAAGGTAGGAAGGGAGATGGGGACATTTCAGGTGGGGCATGAATACCCAAAAGGAGGCAGGTGTGTGAAGATCAAGGCAGAGGGCACAGCCCGTGCAAAGGCCCTGAGGTGGGAATGCTCTGGGTATAATCCAGGAGCACAGGGAGGTCATATTGTAGAGAGAAGAGGCTACTTGGTTTGCCCAGGCTCATCAGCCAGGCCCTGCAGGCCTCGTTGGGAGTGTAGGCTTCTGTCTAAGGGTGAATGGAAGCCAGGAAGTAGAGTCTGACTCCTGGGTGGCCATGTGGGGAGAGAGTGTGGGAGCACACAGAAGGATGCAGGGACAGACAGCCACAGAGCACAGGCCTTTCTGGGTCTCTCCTTCCTTGTGTCTCTCAGACCTGTGTCCCATTCCTTCCCCATCCTTCTCCATCCCCATTGCTATGTTAGCGGAACCCCAGCAATGGTCTAGCCCTCAGTGGTTGCAGGCAGAGGGACCTGACCTGGTGTCCCCAGGTCTTTGCAGAGGCCTTAGGGACAGGAAAAACTTCAGCTCCTGCTGTGTCACTGCAGCATGTACAGTTCTGGAAGCAACAGGATCTGGACAACATCCTTGCATGGCAGCCCCCAGAGGTGAGCCTCCCTCAAGCCCGACCCTGCTCCCCAGCCCCTCAGTCCGAGGCACTGCGCTCCCTCTCGTATGTGTCCAGATGGTCAGTCTGTACAACAATGGCATCTGCGGCCATGACAGAGAGGGCAGCCCATCTGGTACCACATAGTGGGAGGCCTGGACCCTAAGGACCTCTTCCTCTCAGCCTCCAGACAGGAGCTGCTCAGGGACAAGTTCCGGAGCTATGAGCTGCTCCTGCGGGAGTGTGAGCTGCAGAGTCAGAAGGTGGGGGCACCCAGGGCCCTCCCCAGCCCGCCCCCCTGGGCAGCCACAGCCGGGCACCTTCCAAGGCTGCCCTGCAGCAACCATGCCCCCACCCCCGAGCTCCACCCCCAGAACCCACCTTTCTGAGCCCCTTGACTGGACTGACCCAAGGTCACACAGTAAGTGACTGAGTGGGGACTCAACTCCTCCCCTGATTGGCCCCAAAGTCCTGCTTGACCTGCTGGGCCCACTGCAGCCTCATTTGATGAGGGGGACAGAGATTTCAGCCCCACGGACACAGGAGGGAACTGTGACCCAGTACTTTGCCTTCCATGGACCAACACGGGGAAGGCAGGCCTTGGGCCATTCTGGTCCTGGCATGCCTTGAGATTTCCCCTGCCCTGGCCCTGGCAGGAAACCTCCATGCTAGACATAGTCTAGACAAGCCAGGCCAGTGACCTGTGCTCCGACCCAGCCCCATCTTGGGTGGCGAGTGGGGGGAACTGACCCTCACAGGTCTCCCCTCCTGACATTTCCTTGCAGCTGGGGAAGAAGGTGGAGAAAAATCACAGTTGTGTTTGATTTTGAGGGTCTGGGCCTGAGGTACCTGTGGAAGCCAGGAGTGGAGTTTGCACAGGAGGTGAGGTAGCCCTGCAAGGGATGCAGGTAGGTGGGTCTCTGAGCCTGCACTTGGTGTGGGCGGGGCGGGGCGGGGGTCCCTCTCTTTCCCCATCGCCAAGAGAGAACCCACCCACACACCCTGTCACACCTCCTCGCTTCTTGATTGTATGGAAGTTTTCTCCTCTCAGGGCTATGCCAAGTTGGGTGTGGCATCCCAGTGTTACCATCTCATGTCCGGCAGGTCACAACGGGGTCTCATCCCCAGACCTGCCAGTGTACCTAGGATTCCCCTTCTTCTCATATGCCCACCCTGCTCACATTCCAACCTGCCCCTGCCTGCCCCTCTGAGTCCCTGGCCTTCCTGCTTGCTGCTTCCTCAGGGAGGAGGCTGGCATAAGCCAACTCTGAGGGCTGGGCCCAGTAGCAGCCAGCCTACCTCTTCCTTTCTTTCTCCTCCACTCAGGATAGCAAACAACCTAAACATAAAACAATTTTAATTGCATTAATGTTCTTACCATAATTTTCAATGAAAAGGCCTCAAAAACATTATACTAAATAAAATAAGCCAGACACAAAAGGCCAGATAGGGTATGGTTCCATTTATATGAACTGTACAGAATAAGCAAATTCATAGAGACAGAATGTCAATTAGTAGCTACCGGGGGCTGGGGGTAGGGAAATGGAGAGTGCCCATGGGTTTCCTTTTGGGGTGATAAAAATGTTCTGGGATGAGATAGTAGTGATGGTTGCACAACCCTGTGACTGTACTAAGAACCACTGAATTATACACTTTGAAAGGGTGAAATTTATGGCATGTAAATTATCTCTAATTGAAAAGAAAAAGCCATTTCTTGCAACCTTGAATATTATGCTAAAAGAAAGTCTGCCTCATTCCTGAAGTTGAACTATTGTCTTAGCCACACGAGCGGGAAACTTCCAGAGTCCTGAATGGGTGGGGTCATTCCCCCCACCCCTATCAAGAATCTACACTAGTTGCTTCAAGAAGGGTCTGTGATGAGGACCCAAAAAACCAGAAGTGGCAGCTTCTCTGTGCCTGAGTAGGTTCTTGGTGTCTGGGCATTGGAGCTGCCTGTGTCAAGGCCTTGAATGGCTGGCAGCTGAGGCCAAGGTTGTGCCCTCAGGGGCCTTGAGGGTGGGCAGGAAGGCAGGCAAGGGGCAGGATCTAGACACCCAGGCTTGTGCGTTTGGCTCAGCACTTGAGGCAAACTACCCTGAGATTTTGAGGAGTTTCATTGTTTTGAGAGGTGAGTGAACCAGCCCAGGATATGCATGAGTTGGAGACAGATGTGGGGCAAGAGGGTGGGCACCCGAGACCCCAGGGCCTTGCTCACCCAGTCAGCTGCCTGTGGTAGCAGCTCTGTGCCCATTTCAGCCCCCAGGCTATTCACTGTGGCCCTCACCCTGGTCAAGTCATACATAAGTCAGGAGACACACAGGAAGGTGGTGATCCTGGGAGGTGAGTGAGCCACCTGGGGGCTCCTTCCCATCCCAGAGCCGGAACTGAGGGCTGCCCCTTCCACAGACCTCATGATTCCTGCATCCAAGGGCACTGGGCTCAGGGACCCTACTGGTGCTGAGGGTCCACTGCTTTGTGGCAACTAAGGTTGATGTGCCCACCCGCCAGCGGACAGAGGGGCTAGGAAGAGTCTGAGAGATCCCCAGAGGCAAATGGGTGGGGACCCTGATTTGAGGTTGGGAGATCTGGATTTGAGGGTTAATTTTGCCAGTTATTAGCTGTGAGGGTGAGTCACCTGCTCTGTCCAGGTCTCAGTTTCTTCATCTGTAAAATGAAGAGCTAGGTTTTCCAAATTATGTAACTAATATGGTTTAAAAATTTGAAAAATACACAAATGTATACAGAAGGGACTGGGAATCCTGTCACCCAGAGAACTACTATTAACACTTACTATTTTTCTCAGAGGAATATATTCTTTAAAAGGGTTCATACTACATATGTATCCTTTTGTAACCTCTTATCATGCGGTAAACATTTTTCCATTTTAGTAAAGTTTTAAGTTCAGGTTGTTTGATTTTTACCATTAGGAACAAATCAGTAGTGAAGATCGTTAAAGATAAATCTTTGTACACATCCACAATGTCTTCCACAGGATAAAAATACTAGAAATGAAGGAATGGAGGGGTTTTCCCCTAAAGGAAAATGCACATTGGGACTTTTATTTTATTTGTTTATTTTTTTTGAGTTGGAGTCTCACTCCATCGCCCAGGCTAGAGCACAGTGGCGCACTTACCACCACCCAGTGTCGACCTGCTGGGCTCAGGCAATCCTTCTGCCTCAACCTTCCAAGTAGGCGGAACTACAGGCGCGTGCTACCATGCCCAGCTAATTTTTTGATTGATTGTAGAGATGAGGTCTCACCAAGTTGCCCAGGCTGGTCGCAAACCTGCAGGCTCAGGCTATTCACTCACCTTGGCCTCCCAAAGTGCTGGGATTACCGGCTGAGCCACCAAACCCGGCCACATTAGCACTTTTGATACCTTTTATAGTGTAGTGCTCCACGCAGATCACAGAATTTAACTCCTGCACCACTACCAGCTATGTATGAATGTGCCCATTTCCCCACATTTGTGCCAACATAGGGCATTAATAATTTAAAATATTCTTGCCACCTTTATAATGAAAAATGATATTATTGTTTTACATTGAATTATTTTATCACTTGTGAGGTTAGACTTTTTCTTTTTTATTTTTTTGAGTTGGAGTCTCACTCTGTCGCCCAGACTGGAGTGCAGTGGCCGCTCCCGGCCTCCGCAGCCTCCACCTGCTGGGCTCCAGCTATCCTTCTGCCTTAGCCTTCCAAGTAGCTGGAACTACAGGTGTGCGCTACCACGCCTGGCTCATTTTTGATTTATTGTAGAGATGAGGTCTCGCCAAGTTGCCCAGGTGGGTCTCGAACCCGCGGGCTCAGGCAATCCATTCACCTCAGCATCCCAAAGGCACAGGATTACAGGCTGAGCCACCGAGCCCAGCTAGGACTTTTTCTTTATATTAATTGGTCATTTCAATTTTTTGTGTATGCCTTCTTGTGTCTCATGCTCATTTTCTAGAAAAGTTTTTTTACTTACTGAGTTATAAGAGGTTTTTACACATTAAGCACACGGACCTTTCCTATCATATTTCTGGCAAGCATTTTCCCCAGTTCATAGTTTGCCTGTTATCTGAGTTTTGACTTATTGTTTTGTTTTTATGTAAATTTGAGGGACTTTTCCTTTGATTTTTCCATTGTTTTTATGCCTACACAGTCTGTTCCTATCCCAGGATATATTGGGTGTTCACCTCTTTTTTTTTTTTTTTTTTGAGTCAAGTTCTCACTGTCACCCAGGCTGGAGTGCATGATCATGGCTCACCACAGCCTCCACCTCCTGGGCTCAGGAGAACCTCCCATCTCAGTCTCCCAAGCAGCTGGGACTACAGGTGCATACCACCATGCCTGGCGAGTTTTTTTATTTTTTATTTTTTTGTAGAAACAAGGTCTGTTGCCCAGACTGGTCTTGAACTCCTGTACTCAAGCAATCCTCTTACCTTGGCCTTCCAAAGTGCTGGGATTACAGGTGTGAGCCACCTTGCCCAGCTCCTCTGCTTTCTTTGACTTTGTTCCTGCAGTGCCCTTGTTCCTTTGTCTGTAGAACTTTTCAGAGCAGCTTGGGGGGAACTGACACAAGTTTAGTCCTACAATTCTGTGGGTGCTGGAGCCAAGGGCAAGGACTATCTGGAAGGCTTAGTTCAGTCTCCAAGGGAATGTGGCGCCTGGGTCCCAGCCTTCCTGTTTCAAACCCAGGCTCCAGGAGCTGCTGGTCCATGACCAATGGATCAACAGTGGAAGTTGGGAGGACATAGAGGGGCAGTGAGAGCGGGGCGGGCCTGGGGAGAGGAGCTGGTCAATACAGGAACACATGCTGAGCCCTAGGAAGAGACCTAGAGCCATTCAGCTTCCATCCCCAGGGCAGGATTGCTTCAGGGAAGGAGGTGCCAGAAGCACACCAGGAAGGGTGGCCATTGGCCACAGCCCCCCACACGCTCCATTGAGTCTCCCAAACCCCTCAGAGTCCCCTTCTTGCTCCCACACAGACAACTGGAAGCAGGAGCTGCCCAAGTTCATCAGCCCCGACCAGCTGCCCGTGGAGTTTGGAGGGACCATGACGGACCCCAATGGCAACCCCAAGTGCCTGACCAAGGTACAGGGTGCCCAGGGAATGAGGAGGAGGGGAGACTGCCCTGGTCTAGTGCCACTTACCCCATTCACCCACAGATTAACTATGGGGCGAGGTGCCCAAGAGGTACTACATGCGCAACCAGGTTGAGGATACAGTACGAGCACTCCGTGTCCATGGGCCGCAGCTCCTCCCTGCAGGTGGAGAACAAGATCCTGTTCCCAGGCTGTGTGCTCAGGTAGGGCCGGCAGCCGCTCCACACCTGGGCATAGCTGGGAGGGACCCAGAGCCCAACCGGGGGCTCACCTGTGGGGCTGTGTCATCCCCTGCAGGTGGCAGTTTGCATCAGATGGCGGGGACATCGGCTTTGGGGTTTTCCTGAAGACCAAGATGGGGGAGCGCCAGAGGGCTGGGGACATGACGGAGGTGCTGCCCAGCCAGCGCTACAGTGCCCACACGGTGCCTGAGGATGGAACCCTTACCTGCGTCAAGGCCGGGGTTTGTAAGTGTCGGCAGAGACTGGCTCCACCTGGAGATGGGGTTGGGGAGGGTGCCTCAACGCCCTGCCAGTGTCGTGGTTCCCTGATCTGGATACCCACACAGGTATTACCACCGTGGAGGACGGGGTCCCAGGTGAGGCATCTTTTCTGTCTGTCCCTCGATGCAGATGTCCTGAGGTTTGACAACACCTACAGCCTAGTTTATTCTAAACACATCAGCTACACCATGGAGGTGCTGCTCCCAGACCAAACCTCATTGGAGAAGACAGTGAAATTCTAGGTGAACCGTATGGCCCCGCACCCTCCTCTTTGATCTCTAGATCCTCACTGAATTCACAGCCTCCTAACCAGAACCCTCCAAACTCTCCGGGGATAGGAATCCTTCAACAACAGATTGCAGCCTGTCTGTCCCAGCTGGCCTGCTCCTCAGGAAATGCTGGGACAGTATCCTAGTGGTGGCAAGATGGCCACAGCAAAGCCACACAGACACACTGTCCTGCTATAATCTCCTGTGACCTCAAGCAAAGCAAAAGCTGAGACCCTTTTCTATGATCCAACACCAAGATATGAGTTACTGTTCTAAAATAAAGTGTATGAAGTTGGTTGCAGTGGCTCTTACCGTGATCCCAACATTTTGAGAGGCCGAGATGGGAGGATTGCTTGAACCCAGGAGTTCAAGACCAGCCTAGGCAGCATAATGAGACCGCATCTCTACAAAAAAAATTTTTTAAACGTGCCAAGCATGGAGGCACACAACTGTAATCCCAACTATTCAGGAAGCTGAGGCGGGACGATCTCTTGAGCCTAGGAGTTTGAGGCTACAATGAGCCATTATTGTACCACTGCACTCCAGCCTAGGCAACAGAGTGAGGCCTTGTTTCAAAAAATAAAATCAAATTTTAAAAAGTGTTTTAATAGAAAACTTGAGGCATAGTATAGCCAGCAGATCAGGAAACAGTGCCATTGGCAAGATAGTTTTATTATTCACAGTTCCCAAGAGGATGGGGCAAGCCATGCCCCCTTCTGGAAGGAAATTTTAACTCTCAATTCTGTCTTACACACACACACACACACACACACACACACACACACACACACACACACACACACACACACACACTATCCCTCCCAGTGTTATAGCATCTGAAAACCTGTTCTCACTCCATTCAAGCTCCTGATTAAGATTTCAGACTGAGGCCAGATGCAGTGGCTCATGCCTATAATCCCAGCACTTTGAGAGGCCAAGGCAGAAGGACTGCTTGAGACCAGGAGTTCAAGACCAGCCTGGGCAACATAGCAAGACCCATCTCTCAAAAAATACATACATACGTAAAATAAATATTTCAGACTAAACTCAGAAGGATTGCTTGAGGCCAGGCATTCAAGACCAAACCGGGCAACATAACGAAACCTCCATCGCAACAAAAATAAACAAACAAACAAACAAATAAATATTCCAGACTAAGCTTGCACTAGCTGGGTGTCAGACCAAAGTCCCACAACGATAACACAATCAGGCCTTTTTGGGTCTGGCTCAGTTGTCAGCAGGGTTTTTGCCTATTCTCAATGTGGTAGCACCAGCTGATAGCCAAAGTACTTCTCTAATTGGTTACTCCCCAGGAATCTTGTCCAGAAATGGAAACTCAGGCATTCAGTAGGCCTTGCCCCACCCCTCCCCTGACAACCAGTGATCTGTTCTCTGTCCCTACAGAACGTCATATAAATGGAATAATACAATATCCAGCCTTTTGAATACTGCTTTCTTCATCAGCACCACGTCTCTGAGATTCATCCACATTGTTGCCTGTATTAATAATTTGGTACCTGTTTGTTGCTGAGTAGTATTCCAATGTATGGATGTACCACACCATGTTTATCCCTTCCCCAGTTAAAGACTACTTGTGTTGCTTCCAGTGTGGGGTGATTATCAATAAAGCTCCTATAAGCATTCGTGTACAGGTTTCTGTGTGATTCTAAGGTTTCATTTCTCTAGGGAAAATACCCAGGAGTGAGATTCTTGCTGGGTCCTGTGGACAGGGTGCATTCAATGTCATGGGAAACTGCCAGTTTTGCAGAGAGAGTATATCAATTTTGCATTCCCAACAGCAGCATATAAGCATTCCAGCTGTTTCCCATCCTTGCCTTGGGACTGTCAGTTTCTTTAATTTTAGCCATTCTAACAGGCATGACGTTATATCTCATTGTGTTTTTTTTTTCTTTTTTAGAACAGTAAAATATTTTATTTTAGAATACTTCAGTTTTCAGTAAACTTTCTTCTAGACATAGATTTTGGTTTTCAGATAAGTTCTGTGTGGTAGCTATAAGAAGTTCAAACATCCTTGTTTCATAGGTAAAGATACTGAGTATAAAGATATATATTTGAGAACCTGTTTATCTTTTTTGTTGTTTTTGTTGTTTTATTATTGAACTTTTAGTTTTCTTATTTTAAAGATGTGGGGTACAATTCAGGGTTAACTATACAAATGTTCATTATGTAGGTACCCTTGTTGATGAGGTATGGCCCCCCCCTCCCCAGGCAGACTCCCACTACTGCCGTCCCATTTCCCTGCCCCCCTCCCGGCAGTTTCCCGCTACTGCCAATCCTTTTCTTATAGTATTGACTGTTTGAGGTCTACTTGTGAGTGAAAACATGTGAAACACAGTTCTTTGTTTCTATGAAAGATCACTCAGTATTATAGACTCTAAGACCATCCAGGTTGCTATGAAGTTCATGATTTTGTTCTTTGTGGCTGCGTAATATTCCATCATGTATATGTTACACATTTTTAAAAATCTAGTCCTCTTTTGATGGGCATTATGATTGGTTTCATGTTCTTGCTACTGTGAACAATGCTGCGATAAACATACATGTGCAGGTATCTTTTTTATAGAGTGATTTGAGTTCTTCCGGGTATATTCCCAGTAGGAGGATTGCAGGGTCGTATAGAAGGTCAATTTTTTTTTAAGGAATTGCCACACTGTTTTCCACAAAGGCTGTACTAGTTTATACTCCCACCAACAGTATAGAAGTGTTCCCTTTTCACTGCATCCCCTCCAGCATCTGTTGTTTATTGAGTTATTGATGATAGCCATCCTGACTGGAGTTAGGCAGTATCTCAGTGTAGTTTTAATTTGCATTTCTTTGATGACTAGTGAGGCTGAGCATTTTTTCATGTATCTGTTGGCTGCTCATATATCTTCTTTTGAGAACTATCTATTCATATCTTTTGCCCACTTTGTAATGGGGCTGTTTATTTTTTTCTCTTCGGCACATCTGTGGGCTGTCTCCCTGCTCTCTCTTTTTTTTCTAGTTGGAGTCTATTTCCATCACCCAGGCTGGAATGCAGTGGTACGTTCATGGCCACCCCAACGTTGACCTACTGGGCTCCAGCGATCCTTCCACCTCAACCTTCCAAGTAGCTGGAACTACAGGCATGAACTACCACGCCCGGCTAATTTTTTGATTTATTCTACAGACAAGGCCTTGCCAAGTTGCCAAGGCTGGTCTTGAACCCATGGGCTTGGGCAATCCACTCACCTCGGCCTCCCAAAGTGTTGGGATTATAGGTTGAACCACCAAGCCCGGTCTCCCCGCTCTCTTGTTGGTTTCTTGGGCTTTGCATCATTGTGGTTTTTGTTTTCGAAACAGGGTCTCCCTCTGTAGCCCAGGCTAGAGTGCAGTGGTATGATCATAGCTCACTATAACCTTGAACTCCTGGACTCAAGCAATCCTCCTTCCTCAGCCTCCTGAGTAGCTGGGACTACGGATGCGTAACACCATGCCTGGCTGACTTAAAATTTTTTTTTGTAGAGACAGGGTTTTCTATGTTACTCAGGCTGGTCTTAGACTCCTGGATTCAAGCAATCCTCCCTTCTTGGCTTCCCAAAGTGCTGGGATTACAGGCCCGAGCCACCATGCCCGGCTGTTGTTGAAGTTTTAAATTACATGTCTTCAGTGACTAGTGATGCTGAGCATCTTCTCATGAACAGGACGTGGTCTGTGAAATGAGATAGACCTAAGTTCAAGAGTTGTTCTGGCACTCACTGTGTGGCCTTGACAGGTAACCAGACCCCTCTGAGCCTCCGTTTCCTCATTGGCAAACAGCTGAGATAACAGTACCTACCTCATAGAGTGGTTGCTATGAGGATGAATGAGATTCCACAGCCCCCTCCCCCACCACAAGCACCCAAGGCAGCTGCAACTGGCAGCTGATAACTAGTGTTGGAACTCACCAGGGACTTACACTGCCTTGTCCCACAAGCCTTGTCCAGACAGCTTTGTCTCACCTTTCTGTGCTTGCCATGGCTGCCCTGTAGACCCCTCTGTTCAGTGCCCCCAGCTCTGTTCTCCAAGTGCACTGTGGTCCTGATGCCCTCCCCCCATCTGACTGCTGGCTCCACTTGCAGCATGGGCCACCTGGTCCTGCCCCTGGTCTCTTGTATGTAGCTCTCAAAGACTCCTCTATGGGCCGGGCACAATGACTCAAGCCTGTAATTCCAGCACTTTGGGAGGCTGAGGTGAAAGTATTGCCTGAGTCCAGGGGTTTGAGACCAGCCTGGCAACTTGGTGAGGCCTCATTTCTACAGTAAATCAAAAAATTAGCCAGGCATGGTGGCATTCACCCATGGTTCCAGCAACCCATGGTTCCAAGGCTGAGGCAGAAGTATCACCTGAGCCCAGCAGTTCGAGACTGCAGGGTTCGTGAGCATGCCACTGCACTCCAGCCTGGGTGACAGAGTGAGACTCCAACTCAAAAAAAACAAAAGATTCCTCTATGCCTGCCCCAGAACTTATTTCCAGAATCCCCAATTTGGGGCTGATTGCCCCAGAATTTAACCTTCCCTCTTGCCCTGTTTCTGGACTTCTCTTAATCCAACCGACAACCCCAAGGGTGTCTGCTCTCTCCAGGCCATGCAAAAGTTGTTCTTCATCCCCTCCTGCAAGGACCCCTTGTCCCAATAGGGTCATGTGTCTTCTGTTCTCTGTGGCCCTTGTCCAGACTATGGTGGTTCAGCACCTGTTGACTTCTGCAGCCATTAGCTTGTGAACTCACACAACTCTCCATGGACTTCCTTTGGAGTGGCATGTGCTCCTCCACACCTGGGAGGGTCACTAGCATTCGGTGGTCTCATACCTAGTGCTGTTCAGAAAGCATTGTGAAGAGATAACACAGACTGCAGTCTCCTGAAAGGCCTGGGTTTCTGTTCTGGAAGAACAGATGGACCCTTGGCTAGGAGCTGGGTGGGCCCCTGGCCTGAAGACCTTCTTGACAGCCAAGG